TTGAACAGCGCCACCCAGCGGTGGGAAGTATATTACATCTGAGATTCCATCGTCCACCTTAACTGTTTCTCAGCCGTCCTTCCTGCCACTCCCAGATGTTTCTCTAGTAGCATATCAGAAATCGCTGGCTCCTGGTTATGCATTGAAATTTCACATCTAATAAGTAAAATTAAATGTTTTGCTGGAGGAAAAGCGCTTTGCTTTTGCTTGCTAATTCTTCATTTTTGAAACAATACGTAAACCAATAAATAGCAGGCAAAACACTTTCCAGAAATGCTTATTAGTCCACCCTTCTTCTTTTTTTAACCCAACAAAATTATTAGGAAAGTCCATGCTTACAGGACCACCCCGTCGTTATTCCGCTATTTCCATACACCCTTAACTGCGTTTCTGTGTTTGTTGAACTACTACATATTCCTGAACCAAGATTATCACCTTGGAAAAGATCTTTAAAAATCCATTGAACACCATAGTAAGAGGAGGATGTTGAAGAACCCTAGGAAAGTACCAAAAAAAAAAAAAAAAGGCGGTAAAGAATATTTTTATTATTCCGCAGGAACTATAAATTTGACATTTTAAAAATCTTATTTTGCGCTCAGATGTGGTGCGCAGACATACACGCAGGCAGAGCATCCATACACACGAAATTTTCTTTAAGTCTTATTTTGACCGAAATCCGAATGAGCTTGCCGACTTGTGATTACTGAAGCCGGGTAATCTTGAACCCAAGACAAGTCGCTGCATTAATGGGAACTCCTGGGCCACTCTGCAGGAAAAAGGCCTCCTGTGCCTCACGGCCTTCAGCTCAGAAAAACCAGCCCAGACAGGCTTCTGAGAAACGCGTAGAACCGGTCTTGGGGCAGCACCGGCGAGTTGGGAAGCCCAGGGTTTTGCAGGGCGAGCGTGCAGGATCTGTAACTGCGTTGCCATGGCTATCGGTTACGCGTTCCCGTCAAGACCCCGGCTGCTGCCTTCTAATCGCCTAAGAAGCAGCCTTCGTGTGACAAGAATCAGGCTCATCCGTTCTGATCTGCATCTTTAGCCTAACAATGAGAAATGGGTTTCCATAAACTTGAAAGGGGCAGGGAAAAGACGCCAAAGCCGTTACTTGCTGCTTCGGGTTGGAAGGAAGACACCTGTCCTTTTTAGAAGAGTAATAAAGGATAAAACTGTGGCAGAGCCTTCAGCATTGCATCTGGAAAATAAAGGGAATCGGCTGGCGCTATTCTAAAGAAAAGCGAAATGCCTCCACCTCCCACTACGAAATCTGCATCAGAATCTAGCCTCGATTTCACGATGTGCCCAAACTTACAAAATGAGAGAAAAGTATGCCGTTATGAAAGCCAATACCAGAAGGATCTCTATCTTTTAATGCTCCAATCTTGTCTTTATCCCTTTCCTCTGTGTAACTGTGTCGTTGCCCACATCAGTATTTTTGTTTTAAGCAGCTTCGGGGGCTTCTGGCTTTGCAGCCCGTAGTCTGAGGTTGGGCAGGCTGCAAACTGCAGCTGGAGTAGTCACAACAGCTTGTAGGAACCCCAGGCTTAAGGCATTTGGAGCCGGCCCTGAGCAAGCTGCCTCACCCGGGATGGCACGGCGCTCCCCAGCCTGGCCTAGAAAATCCACCGCTGTTACCGCTGAGGCCCGTGCGTGCCACCTAGTGGACACTGTCTGCCGGGGGTGTCAGCAGGACATGGTGGGGTATACAAAAACCTGCAAACGTCTTAGTCTACCAATAAATAAAATCTTCTTCGTTCTGTAGTCTAATAGGTGCGGAAGGAGCCGTATTTAAAAGAAAATGACAAACAAGCAAATGAGTCAATTCACGAAAGCTTCAAGACTGCCTTTTAAAATATAAATATTATTCCATCAAATCCCTCCCTTCGTGACTCAGGGAACGCCACGGGGGTGGGGGGAGAGGCAGAAAGAATGTAAGAGCCGGAGGGACTGGAGGACACCAAGGAACTAAAAAAACTCAACAGGACTGTTGCACACAGGAACTCACGGAGCCTGAAGCAGCACACACAGGGTCTACTCCAGATGGGGTCCTAGGGCTGAAAGAACACATGCCCCGTCCCTAACCCAGAAGCTAGCTCCAAATGATGATCACTTAAGGGTAGGCTACATCCCAGCACTAGACAGGCAAAGGAAAAACTCAATGGCATTTTTGGAGGTTCCTTGTCTCATAACGTTGAGTCAAGGCTTTTTTTGTTTGGTTGGTTTGGTTTGGTTTGGTTTGGTTTGGTTTGGCTTTTTGAGACAGGGTTTCTCTGTGGTTTTGGAGGCTGTCCTGGAACTAGCTCTTGTAGACCAGGTTGGTCTTGAATTCACAGAGATCCGCCGGCCTCTGCCTCCCGAGTGCTGGGATTAAAGGCGTGCGCCACCACCGCCCGGCCAGGTTTCAGGTTTTTCTGGGATTCCTGACTGTGCAAATAAATGAGTGGCTGTGTCTTTGCTTCTTGTACCTTTTATTGGGCTCTTTTCCTTCTGATTGTTTTGTTCTATTCCAACTTCTTTGGTTTTGTCTTATCTTTTTACATTTTATTCTATTATTATCCCGCAGAAATATTTTTGTTTCCTAACAAGAGACAGAAAGGGGGTGGATCTGAATTAGAGGGGAGGTAGGGAGGAACTTGTAAGTGTAGAGGAAAAGAAGAACACAACTAGAATATATTATATGAAAAAAGCCTATTTTCAATGAGAGAATATATATATACATATATGTATATATATATATATATATATATATTCACAGAAATCCACCTGCCTCTCTCTACCTCCTGAGTGCTGGGATTAAAAGCTGGCGTCATCTTTGTCTGGCTTCCTAAACAGTAAGTTATCACTTTGTTGTGATTTCCTAATTGTCTCATCCCCATGAACAGTACTTCTATTTGATTGGCATCAGTTGCCTCCAAAAAGCTTCTTAAGTGGTGAATGAATAGCTATGACACAGATGACAGCTCTGTCAGGATGCTATAAATTCCCCAGCATCCCGTCTGATGCACGAACTATACCAACAATGGCATCCGTTTACCAGGCTTCAGAAAAGCGGCCCCCAGCTCACAGCAGCCACGTGAAATGCACTTAGTTCTAGGACCGTTCTCACTCTACAAGTGAAGACACCGAAGCCTGAGAGGTAGGAGCGAGCCTGAGTGGAGCAGACCAGAAACCATCACCCAGCCTTCCGGCTCCAGGGGTTAGGCGTGAACCATCACATGACACCCATCTAGCGTATTTTTTGTGATGTACACAAAAGCTGCACTTCATCTTATTGCTGGTTGTATTCTATCCCCGTACCTCCCTTTCCAAAAATCAGTTATCAATTTATTCCCCCATCAAATCTCTTCAGATGGCTGCTAAAAACTATTTGAGTTCGTGGATTCTTCCTACTTTGCTCCCCAAAGGATAAAGCTACTGCGGCCAAAGGTTTGTACAGAGGAAGGAACATAAATTACTGATCAAAGGGCCAAGGTAGGGCAATGTGGCTGCCGACGTCATCAGTCTGGGACGGCAACAGTAAGAGGAGAGCAGGGCGCCTGGCGCTAACTAGTCCTTTGTTTTTCTGTTCCCCTGACCTCTAGACGTTTTAATTGAGAAATACTCCTGCAGCTCCTCAGACGTGGCCTGGCGAGTAGGCAAAGCAACTCCACAGGAACCACGTGCCAGCTTCGGACCCAAGATGAGAAAGAATAAAATTGCTCTGGGGGCTTCTGAATGTAGAAAAGGACTTTCCAAAGAAGCAGAAGGCTTCACAATTGTGCATCCCCAAAACAGCCTCTAAGTCCCTACGTCATAAAATGGACGTGGCATGGATCTCTAAACCATAAAATGGACGTGGCGTGGAGCTCGTAAACGAAATAGTATTCCGAGGGGAAAAGAAATACCCTGGGCTGGGCGCGTCGCTTGGTGGGACAAATCGCCCCTAACATGTACAAAGTCCTGGGCTTGCTCCCTAGCGCTGAAAAGGTCAATTTAAACGTAGAGTTTCACAATCAAAATACTAAATCAAGCCATCAGTGGGCACTTCAAAATGCATCAGGAGTGGGTATAGCTTAGGGATAGAGCATCTGACTGCAAAATGCATGGGGGTGGGGGAGGGCTGTGGTGTACTGGACTCCTGTTTGGGTGAAAGTTTACCAGTTTTATGATGGCAAACAGACTTAGGAGTTGGGGAGAGAAGAGCCGCATGGAGGCCTAAGCCGAGGGCTTCGCCGTCAGAAGGCAGACTCAGATTCTTCCAGAAGCCCAGCTACTTGCTCACTGTGGGCCTCCAGCTGGTGGGTAAACCTCTCAAGTCCCCAGCGCTCAGCTGTGAAATAGAGTCCGCTTAACCCCATGTCTCAGGATCATCTCAAGGCTTAAACTACTCGCTGCCGGGTGTCATCCACGGGCTCAAAAACAGAGGAGGTGCTCACCCTGGGAAACAGAAAGAAAGCCCACAGACTACCATCACCGAGGCCCCTTTCCACTCATCAGTGGGTCGGCCACTCCTCTGCCTTCTTTGTTAATGGGACTCCCCTAGCGAGAGCCACCAGGGACCTTCTAAACACCAAATTCAAGGAACAGATTGTATCTGCATTAATTGTCAGTGTTCCCTACAGCTTCCTCCTCGACACTTTTGGTGCCCCGGCAGTACCCTCTTCAGCACCGCCCAGCCCGGTGTCAACCAAGCCTTTGTAATGTTCCTCCTGACCAGGCACAACCTCCTCTCTGGTCCTCCGCTTAACGACCCCTCTGCCATCCTTCCTCACACCGTAGCCCATCGCTCGCCCTGACACGGAAACCATCGAATCACCGTGCCTTTTCCCCAGTCGGCACCTTCCACTCACTTCCGTGTGCCTTCTCACCCCGCCATTCCCAGGAACCAGAAAGCAGTAGTGTGGACAACGAGGCTTGCTTAAAAATTCAAATTTCTGAAGGATGTCAGGCGCATGGTGTCGGAGGGTAAGGCCTTCTGGGCTAAGAAGCAGTTGGTAGAAAAACCAGACGGTGCCAATGAGTACAGTTGGGTTAGTTTAGCAGTCGGTGAGCTTAAAGACAGACCAGACCCTTGGAGGCTGAGCAAAAGGAAGTATGCAGCAAGGAGGTGGGAGGATGGCTCAGTGGGTAGAGCGCTTGTTCACTCTGATCCCCGGTATCCGTGTGAGAAGCCGGGCACAGAGGGGTGCGCCTGGAACCCCACTGCCGGAAGGCAGAGACGTGGATCCCGGGGGCTCACTGCCAGCCAGGCTAGTCCAAACATCAAACTCCAAATTCACTAAGAAAAAAACAAAAAAAAGAATAAAGAAGGTCAGGCACGTTAAAGAAAGACACCTTGCTATGACCTCCAGCCTACACACACACACACACACACACACACACACACACACACACACACACGCAGTCAGTGAGCTTAGTCCTCATATACACATGTGTTTACTCATATAACACACACACACACACACACACAAGAATTAAACAGTAAGATTTCAACAAATATCTGCTATTATTAAATCACAATTAAGGCTGGGCCTGGCAGCACATGCCTTTAATCCCAGTACACAAGAGGCAGTGACAAGTGGATCTCTGTTAATTTGAGGCCAGCCTGATCTACATGGTGAGTTCCAGGCTAACCAAGGTGACAGAGCAAGTCCTTGTCACAATAAATAGATAGGTAGATAGATAGATAGATAGATAGATAGATAGATAGATAGATAGATAGATAGAAATCACAGTTCACCATAAGGCCCTGTACTTTTCAAAACCAAAGGTCACGTTGGTTTTAAGAGTAAAGCTAGCTGGTTGGTGGTGGTGCCCACCTTTAATCCCAGAGGCAAAGGCTGGTGGATCTCTGTGAGTTCGAGGCCAGCCTGCTCTAAAGAATGAGTTCCAGGACTGTCAGGGCTACACACAGAAACCTTGTCTCAAAAAAAAAAAAAAGGCAAAGCCGGAGGAAGTTGGTGGCACAAGCCTTTAATTCTAGCACTCAGGAGGCAGAGGCAGGCAGATCTCTGTGAGTTCGAGGCCAGCCTGCTCTACAGAGGCTGCCAGGACAGCCTCCAAAACAACACAAAGAAACCCTGTCTCAAAAAAAAAAAAAAAAAGCAAAACCGTGGCAATTATGTTTTCACCCAAAGAAAAAATTCTAAAATATGTTTGTACTGAGTGCAGAGTAGGATAGCATAACTCTTGCTTATTTTATGACTAAACAATCTGAGCTAGAATAAGTTAAATGAAAACACCTATTCCATTCAATAAATGCTAGCATCTTCACAGTGTAAGTTATCTGCATATTTTATTAAATGTGTATTTTTGTTGGTGAATATGATTTAAAGATATGATGTGAAAATTATACCATCGCAAAAACTTAATTTTGCTATTTCTAGTTTATGAGCATAAATTTCCAGCTAAAATGTTGTTATATTTAAAATGGTGGGTTCGAAGAATGCGATGGGAACAGAAAAACATAAATGAAAAGAAACTAAATTGTTGAGGGGGTATATTTCAAGACAGGGTTTCTCTAGCTGTCTTGGAACTAGCTCTGTAGACTAGGCTAACCTTGAACTCAGAGATCCACCTACCTCTGCCTCCCAAGTGCTGGATTAGAGGCAGAAACTGAATTCTTAAATTAAATGTTATAATGGCATTTGAATGACCTTTGTAAATATCTTTGGAGGTTATTTCCTGACCTATAATTTATATTATAGATATATGTATTTTGTTTTAAAAAAAAAACACACACACACAATATCCTTCACTCGTGTAAAAATGAGGGGCCTTGCCATCTGCGAAACGGACTTCCTCAACTTCAATGCTATTCCCCCAAAGGCCAAGCCTGAGTCACTACATTCAAGAGAAGCTTGTGACAGTGGGATTCAGATGACAAGCATTTTCCACACTGAATGGCATTGGTTATGATAAGACATTGTAAACGTCAATGGTGCTTATTTTGAAGTTTAAACCACCATGCTTTAAAAAAAAAGTCATTTCCTTTAACAGGAAATATATTAATAATGACACAAAAGACAGTACAAGTCATATTGTAGAGTACAATGTTTCCCTTTGGAAAGAAATATGATAACCACGCCTCAAAGGGTAGTAGAAAAAAAAAGAAAAAACTTCAAGAGAGGGAAATTCTACACTTCCTTGCATGTGCACACATTTTGCTGAGCTCGGATCATCCAAAACATTTATGTATTTTCCTCACGACTGAGGTTGGGAATATCTGAAATTTATAACCACATCAATGTAATCTAGGGCTTGCCAAACAAATTCTACTTGATTCCAACATACATCATTCATTTGTTTTTATGCCAGCATCTAAAAGCTATCATAACTTTGCATTGTAACACAAAATAATTCCAGCAAACATTACAAAGATGACTTAGGAAATGAATACATGTTTGCAACTTCCTAAAGTTTTGATACTTCTAAAACGTTTATCTAAAATGAAAACATTTAGCTGGGCGTTGGTGGCGCACGTCTTTAATCCCAGCACTCAGGAGGCAGAGGCAGGCGGATCTCTGTGAGTGCAAGACCAGCCTGATCTACCCAGTGAGTTCCAGGACATGGTCCAAAACAATACAGAGAAACCCTGTCTCGAAAAACCAAAAAATAAAAAATAAATAAAATGAAACATTTTTCTTAATATTTCATTTCTTTGAAACCACTTTACAGAGCAGTATGGGGAGTGTGGGTCCAAGCAATTTCATTGGCTACCAATTCAAAGTCCTGAGGGGTCACCAACAGTGTATTTTCATTTCCTACTAGCTTAACTCTACAACTGTATTTTCTGTCTCAATTCACTGTCACTCATTTTTTCCAACAATCCTGATTTTTCTTTTTTCTTTTTTTAAAGTAAAATGCCCTCACTTGACTACACTGCAAACCCTTTCTCTAGCCTACTGATTGAGAGATATATACATGTTTGATCTCACATCGTTTGTGTGTTGACAGCTGTCAAATCCATCCCAAAATATGATAAACTAGATTGTGTCTACTTCACAACACTTCTCAAAAATAAGGGTAGGGGATTCAGCTGGCAGAGCACCTGCCTAGCATGCGTGAGCCTTGGTTAAATCCCTAGGATTGCATACACTGGGTGTAATGGTGCACGCCTGTAATCAGAGTGCTCCGGAGAGAAATGTGGGAAGGCTAGAAACTCAAGGTCATCTTCAACTACAAAGACAGCTCAAGCCTATCGTGGGCTATGTCAGACCCCGTCTGGAAAAGTTTAAGGCTAGCCTGGGCTACATCAAATGCTGTCTGTGAAGAAAAAGAGGATAATGAGCCTGCGTCAACTCTTCTACAATCTTTTCCCAAAATAACTAGCAAAATGATTTTCTGATTAAAACAAATGCCTGTGTTAGGAAGTGCCCACATGGTCCTGTCCATTAAGTCACCCCATATTTGCAAGCACAGCTTCCTCAAAAGGAAGCCTTTCTTTTCCCAGGTTTGGGATACAAGATCTCTGGAAACAGACAGTTCATGGCTTTTGAAAACTGGCTCTCAAAAATGACTCCAAAACTCTACATCAATGGCTTTGTCTTTGAGCCAGCAGCCCGAGCATCAAGGATTGTCCATCTTCCTCCCTCCCCCTTACAGACAATGGATTATTAAATCCTGCTTTGAGGAGTGATTTGGAAAACAGTCCCTTAAGGTACTATTTTCATAAGCAGAAGATGGGCAAATAGCAGAAATGGTGGGGTTTTAGTCCCTGGTGAAATTGGAGATTGCATAACTATATTGGCATGATCAGGCATGAATTTCCCATGTGAACTGTCTGAACTCTTGTGTTAAGCAAACAACATGGAAACACCAAATTCGACACTCAGCTAAGGTGACACGGAAGAAGTCACTGCATGCAGTGATTTGTTGAAAATCTCCAAGTCCTCAGCGCATGTGGGGACAAAAGTGACTCGGGCATTTACTATTTCTTGAATTTTGTGGGCCCAGATAGCTGCCACTTTGGCCAGCATGATTTGAGGGGATGTAAAACGAAAAGGAAGAAATGAAACCCACACACAAAAGTATTTGCTTTCTCCAAATATTTTTCCTAATAGCACGTGACTCAAAGAATAAGAGTTGAGAGCACATCTCTCCCAGGCCTCCCCAAGCCTTGTGAAGCTTGATCAAGTACCGTCCCTGGATGAACACAAATCATGATACTCTCATGCAAAGAAGAATTTTGTAATGTCCTTTGTTGCCTTTTTCTTTTCCCTATCAAATCTCTGTCCAGTCCTTAAATGCAAGAACGCAAAGAAATTGTTGGAAATCTCAGACAAGGACCTCAAGCTAAGGTTCGCTTGCTACTAAGGGGAAAAATGAAGTAATTTCTGATGTGAACCCATTGGGGGTTGGGGTTGCTGCTCTGGCTAGATATGAAGGTTCTCAACCTGTGGGTTTTGACTCCTTTGGGGTCACATATCAGATATTTACATTATGATTCATGACAGTAGCAAATGTACAGTTATGAAGTATCAATGAAAATAATTTTACAGTTGGGGTCACCACAGCATGAGGGACTGGATTAAAGGGTTGCAGCATCAGGAAGGTTGAGAAGCACTGGGCCGGAGTCTCATAAAGGAAGGGCGCAGAATAAACGCTCCGTTCCGATAGATGAATTTGGTTACTGGATAATGAAGTACATTCTTTATCATAAAAATTTTGTGATCCAAAATTCAGTGGGTGGTAGTCTGTCTTCAACTTTATACACGCCTATAAATCCTAATTCTAACCTTACTTCGTCCAGCAGTTGGGGTCGGAGTGGTGGATTAAATGATGACACTAATACTGGCACCTAGAGTCCCACCAGCTCTACAACTGGGGTTGACTGTTAAAATACCGAAGAAGGGCAAACAGCAGACGCCTGCGATGGAATTCCAATCGTCATGAAAATCCCACCCATAAATAAAATGTTCCCCCCAGGGAGCATGGGGACCTGCGTGAATTTGGACAGTGTGCAACCCAGAGTTTGGATAAGAGGTTTTGGAATGAGCTCCACGGAGAGCCCCGGACTGTAGTGTAATGCCAACTCTGATTACCGTTAAAGAGAAGCGATCACGGCCGATTGTCTCACCGCAACACTTCAAAGAAAAGGCAATATAGCCGCGTTAAATTCAGGAAGGAAAAAATTGTTTAGTTGCATCTTTGTTAACAATTTGGAAGCATCCATTGTATGATTCCTGTAATGCTATTGAGCTGGTTTTATTAAGGGAAATTTATAGCAATGTTAGAAATTAATACCTCTCTTATTTCCTCCACTGCCTGACTTTATTG